ATATATATATATATATATATATATATTTAAGTTAAAAAAAAATACACATTTTAAATATATAATTGTTATTTATAAATAATTATGTATTTATATATAATTTTGTATTTATATTATTACAATTTACAGTTTTATTTTTTTTTAAATACATGATAAATAAATGCATTCATGGGTTCTCTGGGTTTAGGCATTAACTTCTGTGATTTCAGCTAGATAACATGGTTAAGGTCATCAGATATTCATTAGATATTATCTTTATTGCAGCTCATCATATAGTCTGTTGCCATCTCATAATGCACTACCCAGAACATTTATATGGTTCCAAGTGTGCAAACATATCTGATCATATTTCTGCTGAAAGTGATATGCACATCCATCATTGCGATTCATGTAGAGATTGTCTGACTTTGATCTCATCTTTGATTCTTTTCACATATACAAGAGACTTTTTGGCTGGATTTTCGGTAACAAGACACCAAACTGTGAATCTAGAGTTACTTCAGTGCGTCACACGTTAGCCTCGTCCAAGACTTCCTCAAACTAAACACAATCAGGATCTTTTCATTCATCTCTGAGTTTCTTTTATCATGGACTTTAGTAGTCGTAAGTCCATCCCAGCATTTCAGTTTACTCAGAAGCGTGAGTGGGGTCGTGTGCTGGCGTTTCTCGTCAGTCACATTACCTACAACAATCGGTTTAAATGAATAATCTGCACTTGAAGAGGTTCAGTAGAAGTGCTCTTGTTAGTAATGGTCTATTGCTTGGGAACGGAGGGGAGGAAGAGTAATCGGCCTGGATCTCACCGGCTTATGATAAATACTCTGTGTTTGTGAAATTTTCAGAGTTATCCCACCATGTGACCCCACAGCTGATGAAGGCCTCTTCCACATATGCATTGCTGCAATATCTGTGAGTTCCCTTCAGATGAGACATACTGGTTTCTTTATACTCTGTTTTCTTTTTTGAATTTTATTTTCTTCTTTTTTTCAGTCAGTACCATGATGTATATCAAAGTACTAGACCAATATGCATTGGCCAGGACGATTAAGCAGACAATATTTGAATATTTTAAGATGCATCTTTGTGTCAAAACCTAGAAATCTAGAAATAACCTTGTGAATAGATAATAAACTATTTATGTTTTACTTTTTTTCTGAATCTTGAGTAAATAATTTGTAAAATAAGTCCTCATTTTGGATTATTAAATGAATAAATAAATATCTTATTTATTCATTCATTCATTCATTTATTTATTTTTATTTTTTCATTTTAAGACACGTGGAAAAATCCCATAGCAATATCTACGGATCCCAGTCTCCAGTGTTATTTTAGTATCATTGATATACTATTAGTTTTTATTCATATTTTGATTTTGTTTTTATTTTTGTAGTTTCTGTTTTCATTATAACTTTAGTCAGTTTTAACGTTTTGAAGTTTTATTATTTTTTTTATATGTCTGTATATTTTTTTATGAATGTTTATGTTAGTTTTAATTGACTTGACAACTAGCTGAAATAATTTTATTTTTAAAATATTTTATTTCTGTTAGAGGTTATTTTATATAAGAAAATTGTAAGTAATGAAAGTTTTTTTTTTATGGTTTTAGTTTTAGTTAACGATAATAACCATGCCAATCTCTACATTGACCACTGCAAAATACCATAGTATTTCCACCAGATATCATGGTACTGTCATAGTAATTTTGTATAAAAATTGGAAAAACATTTCAAACCTGCTCATATTATTTGCTGTCACTCATCTTGTAATCCCAGACTTCCCACTGAGTTCCTGGCCCTTTGATATTTACACAAAAAGCCATATGCTAATTGACTATGATGGACCCATGTGGACTCAGAGGTCACCTTTGACCATGACGCTTCCTAAAAGTGTTAAAGGTCACTGCAGGTCACTGATCCCAGGCCTGTGCTCTCTGATAGTGCACTTACTCATACCAGAAACTGAGGCAGTGTCTTTGGAAATGGGTTCTGCCCTTGTTTCACAGGGGTCTGTGGTTTCATTTGAACCGAGAAGCTGTGATGCAGAAAGGGCTAATAAAGGGTCAAGGTCCCAGCTGCACCGGCCTCTGGTGGGCCTTCAGAGGATGTAAGACTGACAAATTGTCCTCTCTTTATGTCCAAAGCTGGTGGTCATGCTGGTTCTCGCCATCCTGGCCAGACGACAGAAGCTGGGTGACAATCAAAGGGGACTTACAGGTTTACTCAGGTCAGTTTGACATCACCCAGAACCTCTCAGACCATTTCAGCCACTATGTAGCAGCTACTTAGCCAGTTTCACATCATGACAGTGAGTTTTGCATGGGCAAAACTGCTCTCATATTCATTTTATAGCTATTTATAATTGTTTTCTGTTCTTTTCTTCAGCCCAGTAAACTTTTTAGACCACACACAACACAAGGGTCTTGCCGTAGCCGTGTATGGCGTTCTCTTCTGCAAGCTGCTTGGAATGGTCCTCAGTCACCATCCTCTTCCCTTCACTAAAGATGTCACGAACAAAGGTATGGTGACAAGACTTCTTGCTTCGTGGAGTGGTGAAATGCATTTATAGTGTGATTATGGCAGTATTTATTCAGTTTTTATGCTTCATTTTACGATGTGGTCTAGAGGGCCCTATCATACACCCGGCGCAATGCGAGGTGTTTTTTGCTAGTTTCAGCCCGACGCAGTTATCATTTTCACGTCCAGCGCCACGTTGTTTAAATAGCAAATGCATTTGCGCCCATTTGTGCGCTCATGGGCGTGCTGGTCTGAAAACGAGGTGTGTTCAGGCGCATTGTTGGCGCGTTGTTATTTTGAGGCAACTGAAAACGATTGCGCCATTGACCAACTAAAACCTAGTCTAAATTCAATGGCACAGTATTTTTTTATTTTTTATTTAAAGAGCGTGTTACCCTTACGAAAATTAACCATGGTTTTTTGGCATATTGACTACCATTTGTATAACTACAGTTTTACTACAAATACCATGGTTAAACTATGGATAGTCTTGCAAAACCATGATTAATTTGTGGTTACCATGGTTAAACTATAGGAACCATGGTTTTTTGGTTTTATTTGTAGTAATACCATGATTCATTTTCGTAAGTAATATGCACCTATAGGCGGGTGCACAACGCATGTATATTACACACACAGTGACTCGCAGCAGCACACAAACATGCCAAATAATAAAAATGAAAGGATTACAATGTAAAAGATTATTATTGTGTATGCTTTAACTGCGTTCAGTCTTTGCGCTTGCAAATTCCGCCATGTAAATAGCGAATCTGCCATGGTCCAAGCGCAGCTGGCTCATAAAGGGAATGGGAGATGAGAATCTGATTGGTTTATTGCACGTTATGTCCAAAACACACTCATTACAACCCTTTTGAATTGAGAATTGGTACAACCCTTTTGGACCATGCGTCTGGCGCGCTGACTGTTTTTTTTTCCATTATTAAACTAGCAAAAGTGGATTCAGACATGCCCTAGGCGCACATGCGCCCTAAGACTAGCAAAAGGAAGGTTGTTGGTTCGATTCCCACGAGGAATTAACCTTGAGTCGCCACCAATGTGCACTTAAACCAGTTTGGCCAAGGATGATAATTTATGGCAATGTTATAAAGATTTTAATTCTTTCAAAAAGAAATCATTCTTTTCTATCTTAATGTAAATCAAAGACTTCGGCCCACCAAAGAGTTTGGGAAATTCACCGGGTTGGAGGGGTATAGTGGCTCACCCTTCACCGGTGCTATCAAATGAACACTCTCTCTATTCACCAGATGGCAGCTATCCAAACTAGGCTCAGTTCACACAAGAGGATGAAAAGTAGCACCCTACCTGATCTTTTTTTTTCTTTCCTCTGAACTGCTAGTCCTTCTTAGTTGGGTTTTGTAATTGGATTATCGCCTGCATTTTTGATTCTTTAGCAAACGGGGCCTCAGACAAGGCTGTGTTTGTGTTATGTAACTGTTTGCTGCTTTAATAAGTGAATTTTGACTTATAAGTCTGTTAGTGTTGATGGCCCACTATTGTTATTCTCCTCATTCTCGATAATATGACATTTTTTGCTGTTTTCATAGTTTAAAAATCATATTTTAGTCAAAATAACTTACAGTACACTTCAGGGACAATCCTGCAAATCTGCATTCAAAGGTGCACCTAAAAATGATCATCATTTATTCACTCTCTGGTCATTCAAAAACAGATTTTTTTCTTGCGTTGAACACAAAAGAAGGAATGCAAAAGAATCATTCTTGAACAGTTAGGAGGAGACAGATAATTGTTTTGACCAGTTTTTATACTGGTCAACAGCCATTTTTTGAGACTATCAGTCTCAAAAAATTACCAAAATAAGTACCATAAATGTTGAAGGGCTAAAGCCAGATAATCATTTTGATAAATACTCAGGCCTTTAACAGTTATCAGTTCTTTAAAATCAAGTCTTCTGATAAATGGCAGAATTTGGTAGAATAATTTAAAAAAATAAAGAATACATTTGTGGTCATCTAGAGCATTAAAAAGTTATTATAAAAAGTATTAAAAATATTATTATAATTGTTGTTGTTGTTGTTATTAAATATTCATAATGAATATGCATTTGTTTGTGCAGTATATTTTTAGTAGCAGAAATAAAACAAATTATTTTCTTATCTATTAAAAAATCACTTATCATATTAAAAAAATAATAATCTGTTGATCATAAAAAAAGCAACTCTGGTCAGTCTTCAATAAAAGAAGCCCATACCACTGTCAGACTCAAAAATACAATCAGAGTTATATTAAAAATGTCCTGGCTTTTCCAAGCTTTATAATGGCAGTGAATGGGTGTTGAGATTTTGTAGTTTACTAACTATCAGCTAGTTTGATTTCATCATAAAAAGTGCTCCATATGGCTCCGGGGGTTAATAAAGGCCTTCTGAAGTGAATCATTGCATTTGTGTATGAAAAATATACATATTTTAAACTTTATAAGCAATAATGTCTAGCTTCTGCTAACTGTCGTACACGCGTTCACGAGAGAGTGGCGTTCCAGCAGATGACGCAGGACATAGGCGTAGCGTAAACTATGTGACAAATGACGAACACGGAAGCGCAGAGGAGAGATCAGAACAAAACACTGGTCACGAATTACAAGTACAAAACGAGGATTTGTGAAGAAAAATATTGGAGGACTTCAATATCAGTCAAGATGGTTTTCCTTTGCTTGAAACAAAACTTGGTTCTCGAGAGACTAGCATATTCTCAGCGGAGCTTACGCTTTGCCTGAATCATCCGCTGGAAGCCCACTCTCTCGTAATCACGCGTACGAAAGTTAGCAGAGGCTAGAGATTACTCTTTATAAAGGTTTAAATATGGACTTTTTTTCTTACACAAACACATCGCTGTGTGGAGCACTTTTTATGATTATGCACTTTATCTTCAAAATCTTAACCCCCATTCACTGCCATTATAAAGCTTGGAAGAGACATTGCATTGTTTAATATAACTCTGATTGGATTCGTCTGAAAGAAGAAAGTCTTATACACCTAGGATGGTTTGAGGGTCATTTTTGGGTGTACTATCCCTTTAAACACTGATAATTGTGTTGATGAATAACAACAAAAATATTATTGTTAATAAATCATTATAATGATTTTTATATTTTTATAGTATAATTTTTATTTAGAAATAGAAAAAATAATAATCAGCTCATCTTTCGATCACAAAAAAGCAACACTGATCAGTCTTCGAAAAAAAAGTCCATATGATTTTTACACAATATTCCAATTATTCTGAAGCCATTCAATAGTTTTGTATGAGAAACAGGCCCAAATTTAAATATTTTTTGGGGGGGTGATTTATTCATATAAGTGTCTTGCTCCGGGTCACAGTGGTAATAAATCATAGATTGCACCATTAAGGGTTTAAACTTACAATCTTTCGACTCCCAGCCTCCTTTATCCACTGGGCCGCATCACTATTTATAAGCAAATATAGACCGTGCTGTGCTCTTTTAGGCTAAGGAGAGCAGAGAGATGTTTAACTGGACTATATTATTTTGTTCTTTGTGTCTGTAGAGTTCTGGCTGATCCTGGCTCTGTTATACTACCCCGCGTTGTACTACCCTCTTCTGGCCTGCGGTACGCTGCATAACAAGGTGGGTTACGTCTTGGGCAGCCTGCTGTCGTGGACACACTTTGGAGTTCTGGTCTGGCAGAAGGTGGACTGTCCCAAAACGCCACAGGTACGACTTCCCATGAATATCTGAAACATCACCTGTTGAGTACAAGCAAAGTTTATGGGCTCTTACTTCACTTTCCCACTGTGTGTTGAATAAGACTTGCCGAAACTTTTCTGTTGCAGCTTAAGTTCATTAACCTTATCCCCTCAGTCCTCCGTTTTGTTCTCATTGTCCTCACATCTGCTCAAAGAATAGTCAAACCTCAAAACAATTTGTTCTGCTTCTCAGGATCTCACCATGGAGCTTTCCTTCATTTAATCACTTTAGTCGCTGTCAGAACGCAAGAAAAAAGTACCATGTTTCACGAAATGCACAATGAAATGAAATATTCTAGTTTAGTTTGATTGTACTGCCTGCTGCAAACAAAAACAAAAGAATCAAACTGGCTGACTGGGTTCGTGCTGAAAGCCATTCATTTCTTTTTAGGCCAAAATAAAGAAAGCCTTGTTAGGTTTGGAATATAAATTCTGAGTGCAATTTCATGATTGATTTGCACTGAAAATGAGTGGGTCATATAGCCAGACAAAGCACTGCGAACATTTGATGTTATTTGACATTGATTTGTCTGTTTTTCTCCTTGTCTGCAGATCTATAAGTACTATGTGCTGTTCAGCAGCCTTCCTCAGATCGCTTGTCTGGCTTTTCTTAGTTTCCAGTATCCACTGCTTCTGTTCAAAGGCTTACAGAACACAGAGACGAGCAATGCCTCTGAGGTACGACTGTCAGGATGATACAACTGTCTAAAGCTATATGAAAATCTTACAAAATATATATTAAATGGGTCAAAGACGAAGGGTTTAAAGCATCAAAACCATAAATGTTTAATACAGTTTATTTAAAAAATAAAACTGAAAAAGTATAATAATCTTTGCCACTATCCTTCAAATCATGAGGTGTTTTTAATCTTTTAAAATATAATAAAAATGTAGTATGATCACTTTTTTATTTATTTGTTTTAATAAGTACAGGTCAGAAAAAGTATGTTTTTTACATAAATATATCTGTTATGCTGAATGACAATGAAACATATTATTTTCCCAGAAGTTATTCGAAACATTAAAGTACAGACTTTACTTGCATTTTATATGCTTTCTATGTATATAAAATCACTTCTGTCAATTTTATTTGATGCGAACACCAAAATGGGACATCTCATCTTCGACCCATGTATGTACATTTATATATAAAAGACTGCAAGACTGCTTCACTTATTAATATCTGAAAGGTTGGTACAGGTTGTAAAATGTCAGCTTCCCCAAAAATGAATGAAAATTATGAATTAGTAATTCATGATATTTGTAACCAATGTCTCTGATGTCTAAAATGTCTAAAATGTTCTGATATCAGAGCATATATATAGATAATATATAAAAGATTACTATAGAGAAATATAAATTAAAGGGTGAAATTATGGCATAATCTAATCTAATTAATGCATAATCTTGTATTATATATATTCTTTTTTCAAAAGTAATAATTACACTCACAGGTCAAGGTGTAAAGAAAATATGCACATTTTTACATTAATATGGTATTAAAGTTTTGAAAGCCACATTAAACCATACTTGGCATGTGTTTTTAACTAGATTTTTACAATATTCTTCCTTTTCTTTATCGTGGACACTCTTATTGATCAATTTGTATTTAACATTGTTTTCCCTGCTGTACCCTGTTACAACAGACCTGTGACCCATTTTCGGGTCACGACCCGCCAGTTAAGCACCGCTGTGTTAATTCATAATGAAGGGACTTAGCAGCATGGAAAGGCAAGAGGGGAGTTTGTAAACTCGCACCTGCATTCCAGAGCTCTAATCATTGTAAGCAGCTCAGTGGGATGGGGTTATGTTTGACTCACAGTGCACTTTACACAAACAGAGTGTTGTTTTCTCATAGGAAACGCACAATACCAGTGTTATTCAGCTATAATCGCTATGATGAATACGTTCGGATGAAATAAGAGAGGAGCGATCCCCTCATAACACGTACGAGTAAACAAATCTAGATCAAATTTTTTAGAATTAACGAAACGGCATGCAAAGTTTTGGTCCCGTCACACTGCACGATAGACCGTTTTTATTTTTGAGATATGTAATTTAAAGATTCAAATCAGCATGAACAGAATGAATGTTACTATCAAAAGATTTGTAGCCATTTTTTTAATCTCTTTCTTGCAGGACCTCAGTAGCAGTTATTACAGAGATTATGTGAAAAAGATTCTCAAGAAGAAAAAGCCCACCAAAATCAGGTGATGCACACTTATGTGGACAACATTGTTTATTAACCCAACGGTTCGAGAAGCTAAAAACAGCAGAAATTATATTAGTAACCCATAACAAGAATTTCACAGAGCTGATGCTTTCCTTGAATATTGTAGACCTTTGAGTTGTTTATTTTCATTATTATTATTGTCACATCATCAGTGAAGTAACATCATATTGACCCTTTTTAGATCATGATGAAAAGAAAAGTTAATTAATTCATTTATGTTGACTCCACTGTTTATACATTTAAAAGCTTTTTACAAAATGTAAATAATTTATATTATTATAAAATTATTTTAAATGTTATCATGAAATATTTATTACTTAATTTAAATTAAATAATTTAAAGGATTATCAAATCATTTCATAAATAACAATTTCATAAATGTTATCCATTTTTATAATGTTAATGGTTTTTATAAATTTTATTATGATAAATTAGGGTTTTCAAACCCCGTAGAATGAATAAAAATACTATAAATACTAAATAAATACTATAAATAAAAATACTAAAATAACACATTTCAGGCCCTATTTTGTAGCATATTAAATGCAGCACTATGTAACTTTTGGCGCTCTAGCGGTTAATAAACAGAACTGCACACATCCCGCGGAAGAACATTCCAACCGGAGCTACTTCTCTAAGTTTATGTCTATGGCGATTCACGCAGGTATGTGTTACTCCGCAGCGGTGACGACCCGACCAGGCTACAATAGTCCAAATATAAGTACTTATTATAAGTGTACCATAGTGATTCGGAATAAGACAAAAACGCGGTTTGGAAGATTAATTCATGATGTACTCGCTCATTATATACATTTTGCAAATTTTGAACACAGAAAAAGTTACATAGTGCTGCTTTAAAATGCTTGGCATACTGCAATGTGAACTAATCTTGTAAAACCCTTTTACTAATTGAGTGGATTTTAATTGCAATGAAGGCAACGAAAGGTCAGGTATTTTCTATTGTAGCATCAGTCCACTGTACAATAGCCAGTCAGATGAGATACTGTCCATAGACTACTTCCTTCCTCATTTCCACTATCACACCTACTGTAAATTGACTTATGCAAAGATTGGTAGATAGTGATCCACGCTGTCCCGGAGTCTGAATCATGAGCTAATGCCATTCAGTTTGTCTGTTCTGTACAGATGCTGATCTTCTTTATGCAAAAATATACTGAGTGTCTGAAATGTCATTGAATATAGTCCCGTGAGCCATGTGAGGAAATGATTCCTGTTGCGTGGAAACTCCTTGATGTCAGTGTGATATAGTTTACATAGGAATGCAGTGTAATGAAGGGAAATATACATTGATAAGAGTGGCAATTATGTAGGAAGGTACAGTGGGTACGGAAAGTATTCAGACCCCCTTAAATTTTTCACTCTTTGTTATATTGCAGCCATTTGCTAAAATCATTTAGATATTTCAGTTTTTCTTTTTTTTTAATAAATCTGCAAAAATGTCAACAATTCTGTGTTTTTCTGTCAATATGGGGTGCTGTGTGTACATTAATGAGGAAAAAAAATTAACTTAAATGATTTTAGCAAATGGCTGCAATATAACAAAGAGTGAAAAATTTAAGGGGGTCTGAATACTTTCCGTACCCACTGTATATGGAATAAGGAATTTAGACTAACTTCAGATATGCCTCAGATATCAAGAGACCATGAGGTTGCAGGTTTAGACTGGTTGTCCAAAGGATGGAGGTTCGAATCCCATTAAAAGCCATTGTGTAAAGAGCGACTGAACCTGTAATAAAGCATCTATTATATGTCTAATTGTGCATTTGAAAGAATATGAAGGGGTTGTTATTTTAAAAATTATATTAAATTATTTATTTTTGTTGTTTTTGACTCTTGCTTTTGCAGTTCCAGCGCATCAAAACCAAAACTGTTTGAAAGACTCAGAGATGCTGCCAAGTCTTACATCTACACACCAGAGGATGGTAAAATAATTTTTTTTTTAAAAATGCCTAACGTCAAAAATATATACAGTTGAGGTCAAAAGTTTACATCCCCCTTTCAGAATCTGCAAAATGTTAATTATTTTACCAAAATAAGAGGGATCATGCAAAATGCATGTTTTTGTTTATTTAGTACTGATCTGAATAAGATATTTCACATAAAAGATGTTTACATACAGTCCACAAGAGAAAATAATAGTTGAA